CTAACCTAACACCATTTTTGTTTTTAGCTGCCAGTTTTTCACATTACCATTGAGAAACGTTTAGTAAATGTAATATCAATTGCGCGCCAAGAATCCCATCAATTTAAGCAAAGCACAAATACGTAAAGAGTAGGTAAAGCCCGATCTGAGCTGCTCTGGCGAACAGTTTATTTTCGATTACCTCGAGAATTTCTTCTGGCCTCGTTTTCTATCCCTTTTTTTCTTTGCCAACCATTTGCAGTTAGTTGCTGCTTTTGGCAACTTAACAAATTCACTTTGACTTTGCATACAGAAGTTAGGCTTGTACCTGGCATTGGCAGCCACATGGACCTGTTACCTATGAGGGACTGTGTGTGTGTGTGTGTGTACGTGCCAGTTCCGGTGAGGTCTGATAGAGGGCAAGTTGTTCGTTCGCTTGGTTTCATTTTTATTTCTTTTCGCCTTACTTTTTTTCGTCTCCTTTACTACATTGTTCATGACGTTTCACATGCAAAACGCGTGTCACATTCGCATTTCCGCCCTGTCATGCTAGTTTAGTAGGGACCCAACACAAAAATACAGCCTTACGCATACATGTGGCAACACTTACACACATAGACACACACACAGTCTCACATACAAGTGGCGCTTTTTGGCTTTCAGCAGCAGTTGCCGTCCTTTGGTTACTTTGACGCTCTTTGGATAAGTGGGCATGTGTGTGTGTGGGTGTGGGGGTGTGTGTGGGTGTAGTTGGGCTCCTTTTGGAATGTGTAACTTGTTAAAAATCCATTAATCACGTAAGTGGCAACTCTGGCAACGACAAAGCCAGCATACAAATGCGTTCATGCGTGCGAAAAATCAGCTAGCAAAAAGCCGACAAGCCCCTGACTGCCTCAGCCGCTGCCTTTCCAGCTCTCACATACTTTCTCTACCTCTAACCCACCAATACTTATACAGCACTAATTTGTATGCGTGTATGTATGTGTGTCAGTGTGTGTGCTTGGCGCCTACATAATTTTTTTGCCCTGCTTGCGTTTTTGTTGTGTTTGCATTTTGCTGGCTCATTATGCTACCCCAGGCTCAAACCCTAGCAGTTGCATCACTCATAATACATCCCTCTCTAGCAGTCTCTCTCTCTCACTCTCTCTGTTAATTTTACGTTTTTCCGGAAAAATAAGCAAACCGGAAATTATGCATGTAATTAAATTTACAAAAAAAAATCATGAATGTTTTAGTTGGGCGCTGTAAATTGCATTCGTTATTGTTCGAGGCATTTTTGTCCCAAAGATTCGCAAATGAAGGTATACCATGAGAACTTCTAAAGGGGGCTTTGAACACACACACACACATAGAGAGAGAGAGAGAGAGCCTGACGAAAATGCAAGATTGCTAAACATAAATTATGTGTGTGAGCAAAAAGCCGAGCAAAAAGCATGATTTTACATATGAAAATCAACGTTTTTCGTGTGCGCTGCCCGAAGGATTCAATGTTAGGCAAATAAATCTTGCCTAAAATAAATATGAAGAATATCAATTTCAAGAGAAAAACATATATTGCCAACCAAAAACTAAACTAGGACAATATACATCACAAATGTTGAGATAACAAATTAGTTATATATACTTTTTTTAGATATTACAATTTATTACTCTGTTTTGTATAATAATTCGGCCGATCAAATTAAGCAGCAGCTCATAAGAAGTGACTGGAATGGCTAACAGCTAAGAATTGAAGTAGTTTAGAAAAATTTGGCTCTAAAGGGATTAAGTAGTCGCAGGCATATTTTTTCTTTTAAATTTGTTACTTTGAGAATAAAACTCCACGCATCTGTCCGCCTGTGTAGAGGGTATTACCCAATCGATCAGTTCCTAAAGAGCAAACAAAGTTCGCTTCATCTTTTAAATTTCTAGATGGTATTTGTCCAACAATTTGCTTGTAATATTGCACTTCAAGTATTCTTACCAAATTATTGTATTAAGAGGTTTAACCACAAGCTGTGGCCATATGCAGCTCGGTTGTTGTAATTCTGTTTAGGCCAAGTTCACATAAAATATTTAATGAAACGTTGGCACAAACCGCACCAATTGCAAAAACCAAACATTTTCCCACAGCGCCTTTGGAAAATTCATTTTTTTGGCATTCACTGTGACTGTGCGTGTGCTTATGTGTGCAAGTGTGTGGTTCCAGAAAGCCGCAACAAACACAAACCCACAGGGACAAAGGAAAGGAGAAAGCGAGACAGATTGATGGGATTGTGAGCAAGAGAGAGTGCGAGCGCGAGAGTGCCGTTAGCTGAATTGTACATAGCCCAAGTGGACTGCCAACTCGTGTTAATATTAAATTACCAAAAACTATTTGCAATTTTTGAAAGTTTTGCACTGTCTGGCCGTGTGGGCAAGTGCGGCTACGAGGCGAAGGGTGTTGCGCTGCGAGAGGGTGTCGATGTCTTGTCTTACAAGCTGCACGAATTCCTTTCGGCACAAATTCCTTGGCTCCACTTGCCACACACACACACACACACACAAACACATTCACAGAGGCGCATACACATGCAGAAAGAGCTACACACAAGTTTATTATGTCTGCTGCCGCTGGCCAGGCCAACTCCAAAAAGTATGCAACATTTTAATATGTGTGTCAGCTGGCGCCCATTTGCATGGTAGCAGAAGGCGGGCACAGGGCGAACTGCTCAGCTGTACCTCCCCCCACATCCATTGTCTATGTGACGCACATCTAATAAACCTGGCAAACAACATTCGCAGAAAGCGTCTTTGCGGTTTTTGCCCCAACGCCAGAATTTACAATGCTCATACACCAACTCCGGCTTCGTCTTTGTTTTGGTTTGGGGCGTGCCCTTCTTGTGGCAACCCTTTAAGTTTACCACTCGAACCTCAGCCGGCTTCAAACTTCAACATCTTCTGACGCTTCGCCCGCGCAGCTGCACACCTCTGTCAAACCCTTATATCTTAGGGGCACCTGCTGCAAAGTTTTGCGCTTTGGTTTGCTATTTTCTTTTTTTGTTTTTCTTGTCCTGCCCTGCAAAATCAAAGTTACCACGCACGTTAGCTTCTGCCAGTGACTATGTCTCCAGGTCCACCAACCCACAAGCCCACCTCGATGCCACTTTTACTCGCAGAGCTACTTCAGCTTCAACAGCCATCTGGCGTCTGCTGTCTGCCGTCTGCTGCTGTCTTTTGTGCCCTTGCGAGCTTTTCATATACTCAGTATTTTCTACTTAAATTAAATACAATGTGTGCGAAAAGTAAATTGGAGTTTGCTTTATGTGGATTTTGCACTCTGCGCTGCATTTACGGAGTTTCATTTAAAACATGTTAAACAAATGCTGAAGACGAGGCTTACACGCACGCACAAACCCAACGAAAAAGTTGACATTACAGGCTTTGAGCTCAGAGAGAGAGAGAGATGGGGGAGGGGAGCTTTGTGGGGGTAACTTGTTAAAGGCTTCAACTTTGAACTTTCAACTGTTGCCTGTCAGAACTTGGCTGCTAGCTTCGCACACTTTTCGGTTAGAATTTACGGCTGGGACCTAATATATACTTGAAAGTGTTGCCGTTGGCAACGAAACTCTAGTTAAAACCATAAACACATTATAGAAAACTTTTAAATTGTTAATAAAATTGATTTTGAATAGCATATACTATGTGACCACAAAGCATGAGAGCTTGAATATGCTCAACATTCAGGGTGTTCATGCAACATTTTTGCAACAAGTTAATACGATAAATACATAATAAATATGGTAATCAGCTGCGGCTTTCTGCTACACGGACTTCGGAAGAGCGTACAGAAATAAATATTTAGGTATGCAGTCCCACATTCTTTATAAGATGTTGAAGCACAGAAGTGCCAGTTCCATATTTTTACGGAATTGTACAAAAGGTTAATCGTTCAGTCGATTCATTTTGTCAGAGCCCCATACCGATTTGTAGTTAAATAAAAGTTACATATTAAGAGAGAGATGATCTTACTAATGGTTGGAAATTTATCTGAAATCGACATGATAGCACTTTTTAAATATTGAAAGGTTGTTAGTTAACTCTTTCAATAGAACTTAAACTATTGATGAAATTAATCAAACTTATTCTTGGGACTCTAAGTGTTTAAGCTAATTTAGAGTCTGTTGAGGCTTTTCTATGAAGCTCGTCTCATTACTCGGCTAAAAAGATGTTGGCCTGCTGCAGTATTGAAAACTAGAGCATCCCTTACACATATTTTATAAACCTCTATATACATCCCACCTGTCCTGCTATAAATCTGAAGAAATTGCTGGCCAATTCCAGGAAAAATAAAATAAAAAGAAGCTCTAAAATGTCGTCATTAGAGATGCTATAGAACACATTTAAATATTATACCCAAAAATTCTGTTTTGTTTATCAAATATTCGTTTTCACTGTATACTTAATACGACTTGGCCATTTTATACTTAAATGCATTGAAGTCGAAATTGTAAGCTCTGGCTGTAGAGGTACAGGTATATCCCCACAATCCGCCTCTACGAATGACTCCAGCAATGCAATTATAAAACTTTAATCATCTTCCAAACCAATTTCCAAAAGCAACAAAAGTGCCTGGCATAAAACTCATAAAATGCACAGCATGCCTGCCGCACTAGACTTGCTCACCTTCGCCACGACCCGCACGCCTCGCCCCCTCCCTACCATATTGCTATCCACTAACGATCAAATGAAAAATAGAGCAACGGAAAAGGAAACTTTCCTTTGCGCCGCACCCCCAACAGCAGCAACAAGAGCGACAACAAAAACAACAATAGAAAAACGCACAACAAAAAGCAGAGTTAAAAGTGAAAAAGTAGTCGGCCAGTTGCAAAGGCCTCTTGAGCCGCGATTGGGATTGGGGTTGAGTGCTGCGACTGGAGAGCCGCACCCTGAATGGGCCCCGCAGGACTGCTGCTCGTTTGTGCCACTGCAGCAGCAGCAGCTTGTCTTGGGTTGCAGCTGGCGTGTAAAAAGAAATAAAGGTGAATAGCGCAAAAACTCACCTGGCACCGATGAGCAGGCTGTTGCCATCCTTGGTGACGAGCTTGAAGTGATCCACGACACTCTCGTTGCCCAGAAATTTCAGTATATCATCGGGACCTGCAAGAAAGAAAGGAGAAATATTAATATTTACACTCGACTTCAGTTTGGTGAAAGAATGTGAGGGCGTCATGGACGGGTGCGTGTTCGAGGGCCAGCAAATGCCTAATTAGGCAATTAGGCGTCATTAAAGGCGACAAAAAAGTCACGGCTAAGGGTTGCCAACAGCTAAAACTAAAGCGAAATGCTAAAGAGCTGAAAATGGCGGCGGCTCACGGGAAAAAACAATGCAGCTGTCAAGGCAGGAGTTGTGGGAGTAGCTGCCTGTTGTTCGGATGATATGCAAATGGCGCCCGAGCTGGGACCCGGACTTAAAAGGCAGGCAATGCGGGCACAAAGGATTGCCCGCCCGTTTAGCTGCAAAAACAGGACACCAAGAGCAGCAATAAAAGCAACAACAACAACAACAACAACAACAGCTGCAGCAAACTTTTTTGCCATTTGTTTACTTTTAGCCATTCGCAATTTAGTTCTTGTTGTTTTTTTACTTGCCGTCTGGGAAAGCGACCAACCACTGATAGTTGTCAGCTGCCACAAACTGAGCCACTGTCTGATAAACTAGCAAAGAGCCATCAAGTACTTAAATCTCCCAGGGAGTTGTACTCGGTAATTACATGGCGAGGTGTTATCTTACGGGTCTGCTCAGTTCCCAATAGCGCCCCGAACTGAAGCTCCACTGAGAGAATACTTTAGCGGCAATGCTGTCACTGAAATATCATTCAAGCATAATTTAAATTTTTAGCTATCACAGAAATCTCTGCGGACTGCTTTCGAGCCTTTGGGGCACAGTAAAATGCTTTGAGTAAATACACTATAAAATAATAAGCATCTTGTTTATATATAAAACCAATAGTAGCATAAACAATTAATATTAGCTGTCCTATTTTATTTGAAGGTTTTATGCACAGTTTATTTTTAAGATTTATGGATTAATTCATTAAAATTGTTGTAATTAAAAAATGCACAATAAAAACTCTGCAAAAAAAAAAAACAACAACAATTTCCATGTACTTCAACAGATTGCCACTATTAAAGACTTAGACTGACTGACAATACGAATTTCCACTTTTAAAGGGAAATCAGATAGACGGATTTTTTCAATTTTATTTTCCGTAGCACTCGATTAACATTACTACCCTTTCGAATAGTAACCCTTAAATATATTTTTATAATAGCCACGCCCGGACCCCCGCACTGCAATCATTACGGATAACGTAACACGCCTTTTGTCAGTCCCTTCATTTGATCAATGATGTCAGGGTGAACTTTTTGTAGCTCAGCTTTTAACTTTGACTGCAAGCGGTCAACCACAAAGAGCGAAAAACTTTTCACCGCTGTTTTTTAATGCCTGAACCTCGCATTCGCAGACTGCGGGCAGAGCAGTCGCGGTTGTGGGGGCGGGACGGGGGCGTTTATGTGGACATAGCCCAACTGGATTTTAACCTGGTTATTGAAAGCGCATTTGGACGCACACTTCACACTTTTCATTTTGGTGGATGTGCCCCTCCCTTTTAAAAAAAAAGAGCCAAAATTAATGGGCGTAAAAAAAGCTTTTATGCACGAGCTTTTCAAATAGGACAGGCCTTTTGTTTGCATGACGTTTAACGTGACACGTGGGACATGTGCGCATCTGGCTGCATGATAAGGACAGAGCCTACACTTTTGGGGAAAGGCTCGCAAGTACAGCAAAAGTTGCATACGCTGTAGAAAAAGCGACATTTTTAATTTGGCGCTTTAATTAAAAGCAACAAAGCTTTGAAACAAAAAACGAGGCAGCTCGAGTGAGAGAGTTGGGAGAGTTGTCAGAAAAACTCGACAGCTGCAATGGTAATGAAATATGCAGAAATGGCAGCCGACACATATGTGAGACAGTGAGAGTGAGACAAAGAAAGAGAGAGCGAGAGAGAAAGAGATGGACGCAGGTGAAAAATCCAATAAGAGACAGAGAGAGATAGAGAGAGAACGAAATATATATATATAGAAGAGAGAGAGATACTTTATAAGTTCTTTAAGGAAAAAGTACAACTAGGTTTCGTATAACTTGAATTTAATAGTGTTAGGTAGAAGGCTTAGTCATCCACACACCTCCAATTCTCCAATAAATAATATATAATAAACACGATCGTAAACATATTTTTATTTCCTGTCAGCTTGAATCTTTATATCGGGCCCGCTCTTCGTTTGTTTTTCAAATCCATCCACAAGTCTATCAAATTTTTGTAGACCCCCAAAACTAACTTAAATAATTCAGCCCTGATACATTCAACTAATTTTGCTTGTAAGCGTACAACCATTCAACATATTGCCCAGCAGGATACCCTCTGGCAGCTCTTAGCTGCACCTGACTAACCAGAACATGGCCGGCAAACTTTCTTATTTGAATGCTTGCAAAGCGCTCAAACGCACAATAGTTTTGCATATAGAGTCGACGTCGCACACAAGTTATGTTTAATGCCACCGCGGGCCATTTTCGGCGACCCTGCAAACTGTGTAAGCCCACAAATTGTAAGCCAATATTTGCTTTACCTATATCTACAACACGGCAGACATACACACACACACACACGCACGCACGCACGCACACACAAACGCAGACACACGCACAATATACACAGGCACACACATTTCGGCCAGCAAACAGCCAAAAATTTCACAAGCCAAAATCTAATATTTACCTTGACTTTCAAAATGTATGCAACGCCAAAGTAAACTGCAACTCAACACGTACCCAACCCGAGGCCCGCGCCTGTTGCCCCACCCATCCAGCCTTCACAGGACTCTCCGCTCAGTGCCACAGTTGCTCGCTTGTATTTGAACAAAGACGCAGCAGACCGAACCGAATCCGCCAGACGATTCAGCAAGCAGCAGAGCGGACGCGCAAAAAAAAAACTAAAAAAAAAAATAAGAGTACGAAGGGAAGAACCTGACAGAGTCTATCACTTTAATCAACTGACTGACAGTCGGGCCTGCCGCTCCAAATTATGCAAATTCGACGAAAATAAACGTAAATTCTGACATTCGAAATCTACAAATGCCGGACAACGCAGTTACCAGGACCCTCTCTCAGTGTGTGTGTGTGTGTGTTCGCTGACTGCGCTATGAGGATTTTACATTGCGGTAACAATGGCGACAACGTGTCCATGTTTGACTTTGTCATGCGACTGGGAACCGAGCGCCGGAACGTGACAACGCAAAGATCGGACGACTTATGATGTTTCAAGCATTGGAGGGGAGGGGTTGAGTAGCCGTTTTAATAAATGGGGAAGCTGGCTTCTCTTAAGGACCTCGTTCGAGCATTTTTATACAAATTACACAGCGCCACATAAGCTGATTATTAAATATTTCTTAATGAATTTTTCATTCTGGCTCTGGTGAGTTTTTCACGCACACTCGAACCGCAACATTTACAAACGGAAAAGGAAATATTTACCCAACATCAGCCCAGCGTCTGACAACATACACATTGAGTAAGCACCGCCACGACTCTACAGTCAGTTTCATAAATATGCGCATTCAGAAGGTGGACACTTCGGGTGGGCCCTCACAGCTGGAGGCTACTGTTGCCACACCCTGTTGAGAATGAGTTGACCGAGGGGAAATGTGAACGAAGCCAGCAAAAAGACAGTGAGATATTAAAAATGCAAATACTTTATAAATGCAAGCAAAATGTTGCACTCCTTCGAGAGTCTGAGAATAGCGAGGTATACTAAAAAAGAGCAAAAACTAAATAATGCAAGTAAGCTTAATGGACGCAACTGGAACTTCAAAGTAGACAGCAAAAAGTGAACAGAAAAAATAAGATGTCGCACAAAGGTTGCAAAGTTTCTGTGAATGGCCAGTAACTGATATATCGAATAGAATATAATAATATCATAAAAAAAGCGGACGCTTAAATAATAAATAAATAAAATCGTAATTAAATTATAACAATCGATGTTTATAGGTAAATCGTATTTTTTTTAATTATTATTTTCTCTTTGCGACAAATCAAGTAATCCGTTTTCCCACAAAGGGTAAAGAATTGAAAGAAAGTAAATAAATAAATTGCGCTAATATGTGTTGAACAGTTGAAACTATTGATGGTCTCATCGATATTATGATATATTATCGTAATTTAAAGAAATGCGACGAAATCTCGAATTTCATGTTAAGTTTTCTTCGCCGAAGATTAAAATAAATAGGTTACTGTTCATAATAGAAGTAAAAGTATTAAATTAATTAATATAATAAAAAATGATAATAAAATCAATATAAAAAAATTAAATTTAAATAATTTTTCTTGTGGCGGCATTTGACGGAAAATTCGAGCAACACGAAAGACAATTGCATAAAAAGCGAATAAAGAATAGTTAATTTATTGAAATTTATTTTCCCAGCAACAGTTATTGATACCATGGTATGCAATCGTATATTAAAAGCGGCTTTCGAAATGCGATATGCCTCGTTTTGGCTGCTGGCCATGAAAAATCGACGACATACACAATGGCGGCGCCATCACATAAAAATTATATAGTCGAAAATATAAAGAAACTACAATGAAGAGGGGCTTCGCATGCCGGAAAACAAAATGCGGCGATGTGTGAAAAACATTCCACGATTTCTGCAACACGCCATCCACGGACCAGAGCAACTTCCTGTCCATGTTCCGTGGCTGCTGCTGCTGTGGTGGCTGACTCTGTCTCTTGGTCGAGCGGCGTTCAATGGGAAAAATCCCAGCCGAGATTTGCATTTAATTGAAATGAACGCCGAACGTCGGCCGACACACACACACAGGCCAGATAGAAATTCAGAGCGTAAGCCAAACATCAGGACGAAATGAAAAAAGAAGCAAACAAACAAAAAAGAAGTCAAAAAAGAAAATCATTTAGACATAGAGCCGCCAGTAAACGAAATGAAATCAGAAATCGACGCCGTTCTCGGTCCTGGGGTACAGGGTCTTATCTCTGGAGCGGCATTGGCCACAGGCTTATCGTTAGCTCATTCTGGGCATGCCTCACCCC